CAACAACAACAACAACAACAACAACAACAACAACAACAACAACAACATACGCAACAGAAGCCCCCCCCCCCCCCCCCCAGTCTGCGCATACTTACTGTGTTTGCGCAGAAAGCTGCGCACACAGGCGGCTCTGCGTGGCCAACAGCGGCTGCAGGCCTGCGGGGCTGAGTGCACGCATCCCGGGGGGGTTGAGTGCACGCATCCCGGGGGGGTTGAGTCATGCTACGCTGCTGACATCACGCGTTCGTAATCCGTTTTCCTTTTTTCTTCCTTCCTCACAAAAACGGGGTCGCCGCGTAAACACGCTCCGGTTTCAGGTGGAGAAAAGGCGCGTTAATGTGCACGATGGCGGCGCAGCCGCAGTGTGTCGCGCATCATGGCGCTGTGATTGCACAAAAACAGAAAAGAAACACCACCTCATGCTGACTCTGCGGCCTGGAGCCTCCGTCTCCGTCTTGTGCTTCACCTCCTCCCTCCACAGCAGCAGCCGTCACTGTGGCCCCGCCCACTTCCGTGATTCACCGCCTCCTCCCTCCACAGCAGCCTTCACTGTGGCCCCGCCCACTTCCCCCAGCGCCCAAATAAGGAGCTTCCTCTGACACGCAAGGCGCTGTCATTTACAGAGCACGATCCCTCTCAGTGCATGCGGGAAATTCCAACACACACACGCCGCACGCGCCCGGACTCTCATTCACTTGTCTTTCGCAACCTTTGGTGTCCTCTTAAAAACTTCTGGGGATTCTTGTTCAGTGAACTTGGAAAGAAGCGCGTCTGTTTTTATGAACATTGCTCAGTGGGTTCCTCTGAATTCTTTCAAATCATTGGGAGAAACTTCCTGAACACCTGGGGATGTTTCTCCTATAAAAACGAATTCCTAAAGTTATAATCCAAGATTTCTGCGCCTGGAGTTTGTTTAAGGACTCTCCAGGTTCATTGTTATAAAACCGGGTAAACTCAGGCAGCCATCTTGAATTGGGCTCACTCCAAATGTTCAAGAACTTTAGAAGCAAATCAAGAATAACTTTTTATGTCTCACTAAAATATGTTCAGTAGCTCATGAGATATTTTGCTAACAGACAAACAATGTGGAATAATAAGTAGTGATGGGTAAAAATAGGTCATGTGCAGCCCTAATTTATTTATCAAAACATTCAGCATTCTTTTGATTTTTCCAACATTAGACTTTTCAAAATTATTTGACTTTAATGACGTCATTTCCTTAAAGAAATCCACTGACATTTCTTTAGTTTATTTTAAAAACAATCTTTCTGAAATCCGCTTCTAGGTATTTGCAACATTTTATTTTTTACTGGCAACTCTTTACCACTAGCAACGACTTTTAGCGAGTCAGCTAGCTTTTTGCTACCATTAGCTTTTAGCTAGACTTTTGCTGTTTTTAGCTTTTTTCCTACTGTTCTAACACTATTATTGTATTACAGCCTTTTATCATTTTCGGCTAATGTTTGATGCTTTTAATTAATTATTAGCTAGCGTTTTGCTGCTCTTTCATTCAGACTAGCTTTTAGTTTGTGATTAGTTTTATTTGTTGATACTTTTAGCTTTTTACTACTACTCTGTCACTATTATCAATTAACCACACAAGCTTTTTTAACTTTTGTTTTGTTGTATTTAGCCTTTTTGCTTCTTTTAGACAGCATTTTGTTACTTTTGGTTTTACCGATGTGCTTTGCTAATTATAGCTAGCATTTAGCTACTTTTGCTCTTTCAGCCAAAGCTCTGCTTGTTTTATCTTTAGCAACTCAATTTCATCTCTTTTAGTAAATTTCTGTAAAGACATTCAGCTCGGAGTTCTTTCACAAAAAGCATTTTCTCTGTTTTTACAGCGATTCAGCTCAGAACTTGGGATGAACTCTCAAACTGCTCAGAACATGGAGTCAACTTTAAATCAGTAGTTAATGTGTGAATGGATGATCGTAACAGGAAGCGCAGCTGAAAGTCATTCTTAGAGACGTCGCCTCACACTGGCACTGCTCTACGACTCCAGTGAACTTTACATTTATTTAACTGGGAAGATCCCACTGAGATCATCAGATCACTGAGATCACTGATCTCTGTTCTGAGGGAGACCTGGGTCGAATCTAATCTAAATCTAATAATTTAAGTTGTTTAATCTTGAACAATCACAAAATGCAAGATTAAAGAATGACCTTGATCCTCACGAGGAATAAAAACAACCACACGAGGAGATGTTGGACACTAACGATCTGTAATCAGTTGTGGCTTGTGGACAAAATGAAAGCGTCAGTGGACGGGGACATGAAATAAATAAAAACAACGACACGAGGCGATGTTGGACACTAACGATCTGTAATCAGTTGTGGCTTGTGGACAAAATGAAAGCGTCAGTGGACGGGGACATGAAATAAACACATCAACGTGATGACTGGATGAGGTCAGCTCAGAGTGCAGTCTGATCCTGAACGCTGCCTTTAATGTCCAGCTCCAGTGAATCACTTCTGAACGTTACATTCAAATACAACCAGTGGTTCATGAGATATTTTGCTAACAGACACACGAACACGTGCACTGTCGCCTTTCCTTAGCAGATAATTACAAACGATCTGCCTTAATGTGAAAAGCTGACAACTACCAGGAAACTACCGCATGTTTGTTGACCTGAGAGAACAGCTGAGATGATGAGGTCATCATCATCATCATCACTCAGGCGGTGTCTACATTAAGGCAGGCTGATGTTCTAAAACAAGGTTTATTATTTCACTCATTTTTACACAAACTTTAACCAGTATATAAAATAAAATGGACTATGGCCAGGTCAGACACGTGACTCA